ATGCAATAAAAACCTTAAAAGGGTTAAAAACTAAAGAAGCTATACAGTGGGAGAAATCGCATAATTCCTCAGATCCTTCTTCAATTGATTTATGAAAGGTATATTTATCTAAACAGTGGGAAGCAATACAGAAACTTTTTTAAATACTAGGCTTTACTGGCATTGATGATATGCGCATTCTTACTAGTAATATTGTATCAGAAGCATTCACACATTCTTGTGAAAGGTTTATAGAGATCTGAAACCAATCTTTATTACTCTTTGGCTTTAAGTCTCGTGCAAAGAAAACACCTGATCTTAAATCGGCTATAAAAGCAATTAATGCAATTGCTAGTAATTGGTGTGATATACCATTAAAAGTGATAAAAAAAGAATAGGTTCTAGGGAAAAGCAGGTTTGGAAATATTCATACAAAATTAATCGCTAGCCATATAGCAGTACTGGTTTTGGAGATAAAGATGCACCAGAGCTTCCACCATATAGGCCAAAAACAGATAACGATATTCAGAAACTCTTTGATTCTATAAGATAAAGAAATAATACTTTGGCCAGATTATTATTTAGCTAGGTGTCTCTATCATATCTGATTCTATTTTAACTTTTTTACCTTCATGCCAGGCTTTCTTATAAATTTCGTTATGTGAGCTACAGATTCCAGTATCAGAATATGTTAGTTCATTACAGATAGGGCATATTGTTTTAGAGCAGGCTTTATAATGTCTGGTACATCCTAATTCGTGCAAACACCCATTTCTACAAATCAAACTATCTCTCTTGATGTATTGGCAAGAAAAATGAGCCATACGAGGTAATTTTTTGATATTAATAATCTCAAAACTTCATCTTCACTTTTATTATAGATATTCAAAAATACAATGTCACAGGTAGAATATTTTTTTTCGAATTGAACTTTTTCCTACAATATATAATCTGAAAACATAGATTAATCTAACTATCGCTTATATTCTACATACCTTATCATGTCCACTATTACAACCAAGTTCGTTACAGATTACAAACTCACTACTGAGATGAGTCTTGAAGAACTTAGCCAATATGTACCAGAAATACTTGAGCTCTTAACAAATAATAAAGAGAAAAGATGCCAGGCTCATAATTATCTTATAAAAGGATATGACTTTACCAAAGAGCAGGTGTTTGTATTAATTTCTCTTCAGAGAATTGGGCGATGCAAAAGTCAAGCACCCTCAAAGAAGGAAGGTTAGAAGCTGAAGAAGTGAATATATGCCAGGTATCTGATAGTACTTGTTCTGAAAAGACTATTAAAGAAACAGCTTAGCGTATGATGAAAGATAAACTTAGTAAAAGAGATGTAAAGTGATATCTAGAACCTTAGTCGAAACTACCCCAGATCCTGTCGTTGCTTTATCCCGTCTCTTTAGGCTTCAAAGAGAATTACGAGCCCTCAATACTTCAGAAAAAATAGTTTCTGCTACATTGAATCCAGAGGTAACCAGATTATCCAATAAAGTTCAAAAAGAGCGTAGCGAACAACGCGAAAATAAAGGGATTGATTTTTCAGACCATTTCTCGTTAGAATTAGTTAAGACTAGACTAGATTTGTATGATGTGTCTAATATATCCGACAAGCAGGCTCTAGCTGATGTAATGATAATACTCTGCATTCGTCCTGCTGAAATTAAAAACTTGCGTATATCTAATGGGGCTATAACTGGATATGCAAAAAACTAAGGTCAACAAGATATTTTTTGAGTGTTTAGATTACTGAAAAAGAATGAGGAGTGGGCAAAAGAATTACTTATATGGATTCAGGAAGCAATCATTTCCGGGGAGTTAAGGGATCCAGGAAAACTTGGATCTATGTATTTAAGTATATTTCTGAAAAAAGACGAATTTATTCCTGAAAGTGGTAAACCACTACTTCCTAGCTCTTTACACAAATTAGGAGCAGTATTTGCTTCTGTAGTATATGGGCCTAAAAATATGTCAAAAGCTAACACTTATGCTAGTGAAGCCCTTCGGCATTCACCCGATAACCATGCTTCTCTATCTAAGAGATACACTATAGTCAATACGCGGAGAAGAGGAGAACCATATAATCAGGCAAAGGCATTCGAGCTCTTCGATGAAAACTGATTGGATAAAAATTTAGTAAATGAAATAAAAACATCTTAGTTAGATAAAACAATATGTTTGATATATAATGTATTTATACAACTCGCTAAATATTCAAGATATTTTTGAGGAATGAGAAAAAAATAGTTATACCTAATACATGTTAACTGAATATGGTTTAAACTATATCAATAATCTAAAAACACCAGAAACATGGTTACGATTTGCGAAGTATTATCCACCTAAATATATACGAAGACATTTATTAATACTAGAATATGATATTAATAGAAAGGTTCATTGGAAAAACTTTGTATTTCGTATTAAAAATAATTTAACCAGAAATGAATCCATAGCCAATAACTCTGAATTTAAAGAATTTAAAACCCAAGTAACATATTTCCTAACTTTGTATATAAAAAATTGACCAGCGATTATTATCCAACAAGCATATCGTTTATAGAAAAAATGAATAAATTTGGCTAAAATAATTCAGCATGTAGTAAGGAAATAGCTTTATCAACCAGGTAGCACATTAATGAAACGTGTCCAAGATCGGTATTATCAAAATGCTAATAAACTTGAAAATTTGAGAAAATAGCAATTTTTTAATCAGATCTATAATGTAATGTTTTTTATTGCTTACATTTGTTTGCTATGTAGTGTTGGGACAATTTTGCACGATTGAGCAATATTTCTATTTTCATTCGGGTACTAAAATGGTAATTTGCAAATATTATTAGCATTACTCATCATGAAAATTTTTGAGTCTTACCAATAATGAATCCTATTTATCTCTTTGGTAACTCCTAGAAGAATTATTAAACGAATCAATTAGACTCCATTAACTGAATTATGCGAATTCTTTTTTTCGAATCTAGAGGTAGCCAACCACCTTCCTGTATAAAAATACGCGCTTCAGATTAATAAATCAATTACTATAAAAAATAATAATAATTATCATGTTATGTTTTTGCTCAAACTTTCTAGCATATTCTCAGTAACATATACATAGTATTTGGCCTATATATCAAAGTTACTATAGAAGTTTCTGTAATATAAGGGATGATATGTTAGCCTTGCTACTTCTACTAATAAAATGGAATAATTTTGTTAATGATCGATGATATGTGATTTACCTCTAAATATAATTGGAGTGGTAAAATTAAATCCAGTATCTAACCAAAATCGAGTAATATTACACAAGTCAGGTTCTAGATAGGATCATGTATCATTCTAATGTTATTCAGAAATTGATCATCAATTATATGAAAATTTATTGCAGAGCAAATGACCCTTTGAGTCTATATTAATCAGATCTTGATGTGACAGTTATCATTATTATTGTAAATATTTATTTGATTTACTAGCTTTAATAAATATCGCATACCTTGATTTATGTTACCCAGACCGCGTATTGTTAAGTCTTTAGAATCAGATCTTCTTTTTTAACATCTGAATCTTATACTCATATTCAATAATGATGCAATAAATAACGTAATTAACATTTTCCAGTATGTTCTGGCCTTTGCCAACAGAGACAACGAATCAGATTTATTGCAAAACAATGCCACTTATATGTCCAGTCATGAAATCTTGTATAAAAGGGATCCAAAAATCTTTAGTCAATCCTTCTACGCTCTATTAGTAATATCTATAAAAATAAAAACATTTAATAAACTTTAACATCTTGCACATTAACTTTAAGATAATAAAAATATTTTTTAAACATAGTTGTCTCGCTAATAAACCCATTCATATCACCTGTTTCACACAAATTAAGGTTGATTTTTATTTGCATATGTGCTAGGTTACTCCACATTCGTGTATCAGTAGTAACGATTTTTTTCCGTTAATAGATGACTTCGATCAATATTTCGGAAATTGCACTATTTTTGGTCTTTGTGTGTCTAATGATATTCGCCGAGAAAATCACCATCCACCTGATTTTCGTTGCCACGTGCTTCGCCATGTACCTCATCAGACAGCAACTTACCGCGGAAATTAATACTAAAATCACCAATGAACTCACCGCACGCCTATTTGAAATTAATTCTTCTTCTACTGCAGAGCTCGGCAAAATTAATACCGAACTTAATGATAAACTTACCGCAGAAATCAAAAAAATTAATTCACGTGATGCATGTCACGCATCTTTTTTTGAATTTTTTAGGGAATTGCTACCGACACAACAAAACACGTGCTTATCGACACAGCAAGTGACCAGCACTAACCTTAACGACACAGCATGGCCGGTACTATATTTAAGGTTAGTGTTAGAATGTAGCAGAATTAGGAATTATGTCACGTGTTTGCTGTGCCGGTAGCAATTCCCTTTTTTAAACACTGAAAATCTATCATGTGATTTAATGTCAGTCCCCTGAATACAAGATAATGCGAATAAATCTGCGATGTCCAGTAAAAATATTTGGAAGTTATGAGCGCAGACACGAAGCAAGAAAGAGAAGTTTCTATCAAAGCCGTACTCAGAAGCGAATGTGACAATTATCTTTATGAGTATCTTAATTTGAGAGTGGAACAAGCTTCCTTCACGAAAGAAATTCAAGCAGAACATAGTAGCTACTATGTTTTATTACATAGACTTGAAAATGATCGCGAACTCGAGTTCAACGCAAAAAGCGCTTTGGACGCGTTTGAGGTTAAATATTTGTTTTTTCTTGATGCTGTGGCATTCTGATATTACTCAAGCAAGAGCATCTGCGGTTTGTTCTTGTTACGATCTGCGGTTTCGAGTAATAATCAGTTAGGGCTTTCGCCAGGTAAGGGCATCTGCGGTTTGCCCTTATGATAAACTGAGGTTTGGGCTTTGTCCATCAAGAGTATCTGAGGTTTATTCTTGTGGTCGGATAAAGTTTAGTCAGCCACAGCATATTATGCAACTATGCACTACAATACTGCATTTTTTAAAGATAATGACACTTATTTTTTCGTTTAAGACGGAAAAAAAATCTTCAAAAGTGACTAATTTTTGGAAGGAAGTTAAAAGATTAGAAGAGGAAGAAAACGCAGTTCGTTCTGCCTCATTAGGGCACCTCAACATATTTGGAAAATCGGTAAGGGGGAGTAGAGCATTTATAAGATAATTTGTATTGTATTTACTTATCTAACACCTCTTTCCGTTAACAGCTTTCTCAATATGCAAATGTACGGGAAACAACAATTTTATCAACTAATTGTTGTAAGCTAGGAGAGCAACGAGAATTACAGGAGTCATCGCACGCAGAATTTGATATAATACGAACTGGTGTGTTCGGCTTAAATTATTTGGTATCACCAAAGAGTTTATTACTAAACATTCTCATATCAAAACAGAAAATCATAACATCTCAATTGCTTCTTCGTCGCAAAAACCGGAAAATCAGAACTATTATAAAGAGCAGAAAAAATCTGACTATAATAAACTGTTAGTCGATAATAATGATACTATAACAAATGGCACAGATAATTATTTGCAAAAGGCGGTGGAGTCTATGATTGGAAAAGTGGAAAGTGACGTGTTGAAAGTGGATGATGTCGATCTGGAAGTAATTTTCGAAAAATACCGTGGTGAATGTGACAATGAATTTGAGTAAGTGAATCAGCTCCATAATTATATGAACTTGTTTTACTCATTTTTTTGTATCAGTTTATGCCATAGTGATATTATGGACATGAGACCCACTTCACTATTGACAAAGATTATTCCCGAAGTGACGTGGGAGAAATTCATCAGGGATACATATCCTGACTATGGACTACCAGAAAAATGGGAAGAATCAATACTAAGTTTTTTCAAGGTATATTCTAAAAATCTAGGAAATATTGATTATTTTCGGAATTAGCTAATTCTTACTGTTGTTTGTCAAGTAGCCAAAAGGTACTTTAGACGAATGGGAGAAAGCCTGGCGCGGACTCTTTGATGAAAAAGAAAGTAGCAGAGATCTAGTGATAAAAGACGCATTATACAATATTCTCTCCCCATTGTACAGTACGTTTAGGCTTTTATGATGTTTTTTTTTGTATTTTTATACTTAGTGGTGTAATGTCGTTATTGTATTTATCCTTTTTAGCATTGAAACTTTTAAAGCACCATTTAACATACTAAAATCTGGTGACCTGGAAGAAAACCAATATAATTCCCAATTTGTAAATCCCATTTTAAAATGTACGCTCAAGGCTATCTGTGATATGGATTGGAGAATGTAAGTAAATTGATTTATCCTTTCTGGGAAATTATTTATTTGTAGTGATTAACATTGTTATTTACCTGTTAACAGTCTCGAAGTTCCAATCAGAAGCAGTAAATTTCGACGTAATTCTAATATTAACCCATTTGTTGACAGAGTTTTAAGCGCAAAACGTGCAGATGGCCTGGCCCGTATGTGGAAAAACCAGGAAGAAATATTTATATATGAACAGACAGGACCGCAGGATATTGATGATGTTACCGATTTTTACGTCCATGATTATAAGTTGGTTCGAACCATGCGTTATGTGCTGAATCAACGAATAATTCTTCGGCTCAATAATGGTATAAAAGATTACAATAATTTGGCAAGTTTTGGCGCTTTGGGTCATCGCAATGAAGTATCTCTGCTTTGGTGCACGATACACACCAAATCATATTGTTTACGTGAATACGAAAGTTTTTACATACCTGCAATATGGGAAGATCTTCCCGTTTTATCAGAGGCAATAATAGCTTGCCTTAAATTTTTTGTAAGTATTACATGATTATGTGATTCTGCTTCACTTATTCATTATTTTCTGTTAATTGTTTATGTTCAGACCTTCATAAAATCAAACATCGCAAAAATCGAGTCACGTTCTGATCCAAAAATAAAATTACTCTCCAAACGGAAAGTACATATCGTAACGCCAAATCCGCAAACTCCCGATCGATCAAAAAAACAAATTGATAGATCAAAAAAACAAAAGAAATAATATCATTAAACAAGTTGATTAGTATTTACATTAATAAAGATTTTGTATGAAGACTACACATTGTGTCAATAATTATTTTTTTCAACGCGACTATGTCAGTGTGAATCACCGATCATTAGTTCGAATGTTTTTTGTAATTTCAAATGTCATACGTGGATATGTTAAAATAGTACACATATATATTTGGGGGTCGTCTAAAGCGGAGCAGAATCACGTGATATCTTACCAATCAAATTATAGACTTTTGATGATCACCGGCGAAGCAAAACAAGAAATAAAAACGAAAAACCTGAAAAATACAAAAAACGGCAGTCTAAACCTACCTCAGGTAGGTTAATTAAAAATGCCGGGAAGACAATTTTGCTTATATCTAACTACCTAAAACCTAGCCTAACCCCAATATAAGATGACTCTAACCCTAAAGTTAATTCAATAAAATATATATTATAAGAATCTGCTCCGCTTTAGACGTCCCCTATATTTGGCATTTCTTTGAAGCCATCTATTACACGAATACGTATCGGTATCCACAGCCCTTGTTCTAAATTTGTATATGTTTATATTATCAATTATATTTGGCCATTTTATGATATCTATTACGTATAGTAAAAATTTCGAATATTCATCATGATGCAGTATAAATTATATGTTGATTGAACATTTATTATTTATCGTGTTAATACGTAGAATATCAAAAATTCGACAGCCCTATGGGTCGAAAAATTATTACTATGTACAAATATTTATGGGCTTGTTAAATAAACATACCGTCTAGAAAAGGATAATCGAGGCTATTAATTATCTTAAATTTATCGTATAGCCCTGTTTACTCACATGCTAATGTTCAGATTAATATAGTTTATTGTTGTATATTTATTTATCTCAACAATGACGATGAGTGAAATGAATTGGCAGGAGTATAACAAGCCACGTAACAACTTGAAACATTCCTTGAGCGCTACGTGCATAAGGCTCAAATAAATATGTATATAAAATCTTTTTTTTCATTTTCTATCTGAAATTTTCAAATCCTTCCTTTCTCACACTAGGTCGCTTTTGTGTTGATAAGACAGTAGCTGGAGCTATTTGTGCGGGTATGCTTAGTCAAGCAAAAAATTTCGTTTCTACTATTGAAGCGATAGGGCCTCTGACTATGTGTGTTGTGAGGTTTAACATACTCATAATTACCGTTTGGTAGCTCAGTACTTTGGTGAAGGTAGTTGTTTGTTCTGCAAAAAATACGCGATCTATCTATCCTTTATACAGTAATATAGTCTTCTTATGCATATAAAAACACTTCTATTGAGGACATGATCATCATTCTTCCACATGGGACGTATGCAAGGAGAGGAAGGTCCAACAGACTTCCTGGGTTTTAAACCACCAGGCTACACCATGTGAATGATATGAATGTATCCACCTCACTTTTTTATTTTACTTCTCTGATAGTCATGCAAAAAATTTTGTCTATATCTTAAGACGATAGGGTCTCTGACTGTGTGTATTATGTTTTAGAGAAATAATATGGCACAGGGACTCGCTTTAAATGGTTTAGGATCTTCATACTCCCTCCCTTGAAAGCATACCATATATTTCATTTATTTTTTTCTTATGATTATAAAACACTATATATTATCGTTATAGAGGGTGTGATTATTAGATTATAATTGTTTTCATATCGAGGAAAGGAAGACCTGATGAGCTTCCTGCGGTTTAGTCACTGAGCTATGAAATGATAAATAATTTAAAGTATCTATCTTACCATATAGCTACAACTTTTTTTATATCTCTTACCTCTTAATTGACCATAACAACTGGTGCAAGTAAAAGATTACTGCCTCAATAGAATTGCGTAAAAAAGAATATATACTATGGCTGAGGTAAATAATATTAATTTTCAGTCGAAAGATATTAAGTCCATCTCCTTCCTTGCATTTTCTTGCATAAAAGCCCAGTACTCATCAACATCAATAAAGCTAGATGCACTCGCACTATACTGTATGTATATAACAGGCTTCGGTGGCAATGAAGAGGGAGTCAATGAACGTGACTCATCAATCAAACTAGATGTGGAGTTTTTTGCTTTTTATAGACTTGATTGGCACAATATCTTGATAAGCTTTTTGGATAACCTGTGTACTTCCATTTTGGGTTTTAGATTCGAAGCATTTAGTGTTCTAATGATTTTGCATCAAATCCCCATCCATCCCAATATACCTTTTTTGGCTTTACTTTAGTAATCTTTACCAATCACCAGCATTTGAAGCATATAGCTATCTGACTTTTATGAACTTTAGATCTTCGATAGCTGATATGTTCAACTCTTGGTCTATGGTTTTCAAGATAAGTTCTAATGCTTCCTTCTTCAAAAGAAGTGAAGAGACAATATACATGATAAATGCTAGGTCTTTCTCTAGAAAGTAACTCTTTCAAATCATCTTTTATACGAATAACCCACTGTTGAGGTATTTCACGGGGTTTAATAATAGCTAAATCATTGTATCTTTTTTCTAGTTTGCACATATTTTCAACACAATTATAGTTATAACTACCACATTCCACATAATATTTTTTGACATATTCCAAATCATATTCTGGACGAAGATTAATTGGTTTGGGTACCGATTTATTAAAAACCTCATCTATAATGATTTTAGAAGTTTGACTAGACATATTTATTAATAATCTATTGTTTTAGTGTTTTAATGATTTATAGCATTTTTAGCAATTTATAGTGTTTTTAGTGATTCTTTATCAACCTATATCAAGGAATGTCATGATTCAAATTTGTACATAGCTGAAAAAGAAAAAAATGTAAGTAATTGTTAATATACACTTCATAGATTTTTATTTCTTTTTTGTATATATTGCAAGTAAATACTAATATATAAATTATATTTCCTAATTGTGATCTCAAAAATAGCATTAGAAAAATGGTAGACAACTATTGAGACCACATATCAATTTTTCTAGTTGCCGAAGTGGAACACCATATCACCAGGGCGCAATAATTGTTAAAATATTCTACGAACATTTTTTAATGGATTTGCTATTCCCAGATATTCACATAATTCAGGGTAATCGAACACACCTACGACCCTCTCTTGTTTTATATTTTTAACAATAATAAAATCAGTTGTCTGTTTTTTTGATATCTTCAAAAGTATGTTTTACATTACTTGCGCAGTGTGGACACCATGTTCCACAATTTTTAACTCTATGAAGTGGGGCACACCATGTATGATTCTTAGAACAGCGCATAATAATGGGGTTTTATTATCTTTATATTCAGTTGAAAGATATATTCCACCATGAGATTTGGCAATAATACAAGTATCATTTAAGGATAATTTTTTCATTGTGAACAAAGATTCACTAATTTTTAGATTTTATTCTTCTAATTTCAAAGGAGTATCCCAACCTAGTCTAATCGCTAATAGATCATCTATCGCCTTAGTAAAATCAAAAACTATGAAATTTCGATTCCGCAGATGCTTGTCAATAATTTTAGATGCCTTTTTCAGATTATCTGTATATTGATACATGACTCTATGGATATCGTCCCTACTTCCACTTCCTTAGAACATGACTAGGTGTGAGATATTTTCACGAATTATCTTTGGTACGGCCTGATATTTTTAAGTTATATATATTGGCGAGATGTTTTGATGCCGACTGCTAATAAAGTAAGGAACAATTCGCTCTTGTATTTTTTTTGATTCGGCGCAGAAATCTTCAAAAACAATAACAGTACCTCTTTTAGGGGAGAATTTACTTATATCTGGGATCTTTTCCACCTTTATTGTTTGAAATAAGATATTCTCCTGATATGGCTTAGGACTATTAGCAAAAATATGGATAGCATTTCTTACCAGCTCCCATTTTGGCTCGGCATGCTTCCCAACTAAAATGAGATTATCATTTTTAATATATCTATCCCTCTTCTTGCCTTTAAACATGCGCTGAAGTTTATTGCCTAGAATAAGGTTTATAACTATATTAGTTTTTTCGCTATGTGAACCCCCAGTGACTACCATACGAAAAGACCAGTTTGGAGAATATTTATTGCCTTTCAGACGCTCCAAAGATTTTCTAGAAATCTCATCAACGTTATACACAAAGAATTTCATATAGTACGATATATAAAGCACATCAAAATGAGAAATTTCAGCGAACTTATTTACCCGAATTTTCAAGGGTTAGACTTCGCTTTATCCAAGAACCCTTTCTCAATTAGCGTATGTCTAATAAAAGGCAAAGGGTCACATGTATATAGCACTTCGATAAGGCATATATCTTGGTCCTTGCATATATCCTGCTTTTTTTGATCACGCATATTTTGTGATTTTAAATTTTCATTCTTCTGGTGATAGAAACTATTATGATGATAATGTTGAGAACTCTGGAATTCGAATGCAAGACATAATTCCTCATTATATCCATCCAAGTATAGCCTATCTAAGAACTTAGCCCTACATGGCGAGAATTTTTTGCCTAACAAATCCTCAAAAATATATCGGTATTAACGTTCGCTACTTGAATAGTAGCATAGAGAACACCACTCAAATTTTTTCATGATATATTTTAGCGGATACTCCCACTGATGTGCACTATTCTCACAAGACCAGAGATAAATACCATGTCCATGTATCTGGCAGTTTTCATAATACAATGCCCATTACACTTTTTGGTGTATTCCTCAGCCCGAAATGCTTCAGAATTTGGTCAGTTATAGAATGTCATAGGAATAAGTATACTGTATATAGCAAAAAAATATTTATTGGTGTGTAAAATCGGTAGATACTTTGTTAGAATATCAATCTTACAAATTAATGAAATCATTATTGAATATTTGATATATTAATATTAAGATTCAGAAAGATTAATTGATAAGTTCTAGTGCCTATAGTTTATCTTGAATAGTCTTTTCTGGATCTTCATCATCATACCACACATAAAAGAGATATATGTTATTTTCATCGCAAAGATCTCTTTTGAGGTGGTCTCGTTCTAATTGTTTTTCAAAATCTCCAGGTTTTGGATGAAAGAATTCGATTCGACGCCAGTGTTGTTCTCCCTGCACTTCGATCATGAAACCTAAATCATAATATGGAATATCGAGTTCTAATCTAGTTGGATATTCTTGTGTCTTTAAAAAATTAGGCTTGCGTATTTTAGATGGTGATGAGCCTAATAATTTTGTTACAATTTTTCAACATAAATTTTCACGTTTGAATTTTTGGCAAAATGGACACCAAGATTTATGAATTAAAATATTCTGTGGGGTAGCCTCCCATATATGTCCCTGTTTACAAATCTATTGAAGTTTACTATAGGCTTTCCTGTAAATATCTGAAAGACAATTACCATTTTGTGACTTAGCATATCTGTGTATATCCTCGATTGTTTTTTTACGCCCAGCGTATGTTGGACACCATTGACTTTTATTTTTTACTCAATAAAGTGTCGATTGCTATTGATGATTGTATTGACAGCTCCAGGTAAGTAATCCATCAATATTTTGATATTTAGTTAAAAGATATTGTCCATGTCTAGATAACGCAATTTGTTCTGCAATTTCAAGAGAGAGTAGTGCATTACCTGAACAGTATAGACACCAATGCCTCTTTCTAATATTTGTTAATGTTTGCACCCACCGATGTGATTTTTCACATTCCCATATTAATAGACTTCGATTACTAATATAAGTGTCAGATATACATTTTTCATTTCTATTTTGAGCTATTTCTTTAGGTATTGAAATATTTAATCTAGTTTTATCCTGTTCATATTTGGCACACCAAGTTTTATCATATTTAATATGATATGATGCCACCCAAGTATGACCATGCTTGCATTTCTACAAAAGTGGTTCTCTTGTATTAATATAAACTTCAGAACTACAATAACCTCCATGTTGTTTTGCAAACTCCTTTATGTCATCTAATGTTAATTTTTTTTTAGACATTTTAAGTACTGATCTTATATACTAATTAATATTTAAAATGTTTTGTGGGGGTATTGCAAAGTCTCTAAATTTATTTGTATTAGCTCCTCTCGCACAAATCCCTGCTTTGGAGCATATTCATCATCATCACTCCCGAGGTAATATAAAACTGGTTTATTTTTGCTACTACGATTTTTCGAATTTTATAAATGGAAGGCGAAAATACTGGATCGGTCGCACGCCTTTGATTTTTCATACCCTCTTCCCATTCTGCATTAGCAAGTAAGTAATGAACAGTATCACCTTTCTTTAATTTTGCTTCATCTTTTCCAACTAGGTGTTTATATTTTGCGGATAGTCTAGATTCTACACATTCTAATACAATGGCTTTCACAGGCTCAAGCCCTCACTTTTCTGATCCTGGTTCTCGAATAAGATGTGTAGAGTAGTTATTTAGATAGTCTATAACTTCTGGTAAAAATCTAACTCATGCTCTTATTAATTTAGAATTAGAAATTATCGATTCAATAGCATATTAGGTCTTATACAGAATTTTTGAGAGTATCTGATTGAAATGCTCTACAAATGCAAGACCTCGATGAGAATATAGACCAATTACTTGAATTGTAACGCTATGCTCTTGCAATAATCTGGAGGTCTTACCTATAAATTCATGACCCCATCATATTGTAAAAGCTTTGGCCATGTCAATGGATTATTTCGATTACTGTATACTTTCCTAAAAGCTTTAGCAATCTCAGAACTTTTCTTTGATCTAAAAGGAACTAAAGCCTTATATCAGAAGGCACAGTTTATAATGTTAAGTACTGCTTTATATTTTTTACCTCTATAGTGGTCATGAGTGAGAAACAGTATATCACATTGATGAATGCAATTAGGGCATGTTATTCGTCTGTAGCTAATTCTAGGAATATATTTTGGAGAAGTTTTATTGGTTTGGTATGACTTCTGATTTTCTAAAAAATCTTTGCATTCACTTAGGTGAAATCGATGGCTCTCTTTTTTATATGCATCTCTCAGAGATTTAGGATTGGAATAATACCCAGTCAGGTGATAATATATATCACGCAATATGAGATTTTTTTCGATTCTCTGAGCCTCATCTGGATCGATATAAATAACCAGCTTCTCCATTACTTTATTCAATTATAGTAAATAAAAAATATGGAGAAATTACAACAAACTAACCAAGAACTCCATGAAGTAGTATCCCAATTGGCAAAATCAAATAAGAATTTTGAAAAATATCTATATATCTTAGAAAGAATTATTGGCATACGGGAAGAGAGAATACGATTTCTTGAAGAAGAGTTAAATAACACCATCGAGCTTTCTAGACAAGACAAAGAAGAATTAT